GTTCTTTTTGGTACAGTGACTCTGTGTATTCCTGCCATCTTCTCTTGATGTTTCCTGCATCATTCAATATTTTGCCCATAGAATCTCTCACTATTGCCCCCAACTACAAGGTCATATATTCTATTAGAAGGACCCCTGGTAGCACAACAGTTAAGTGTTTGGCTGCTAACCCAAATATTAGTGATTGGAACCCACCCAGCAAGCTCCACAGAAGAAAGATCTGGTGATCTATTCCTGCAAAAATTACAGCCTAGAAAACCCAATGGAACAGTTCTACTCTATCATGTGGGGTTCCTATGAGTCAAAATCAACTCAATGACCTCTAATAACAGCAGTGTTCTATAAAATTGCTCTCAATATTTAGTATTCCAGGGGATCATCTTAAGGAGCACTGTCCACTAACTTAGTGGCTAGGGAATGTTGTGGAAGGAATATGGTCTCTGAGTTGGGTTTGACAGAGAAGAGCCTTTGTCTTTGGTCATTTTCTTCTCTCATCTCCTTCATCAGCAATCCCAAAGTGTCACTAAGTTCTTCAAATTATTTATTTCAACCTTAAGGTAATGTATTTTTCAATAGTTTTCCTCTTTTTTTTGTCCATGAAGGTAATATTTGTATATAATAAAATTCACCAATTTTAAGTACACCATTTCATAACTGTCTGTAATTATATATAATCATTGTAACCACACCACCATCAAGAGACTGAACATTTAATCACTAGAAAGTCTCTTTGAACCTGTTTGAATTTGATACCTTCTCCCATCTCTGGTCCCAGACGACAATTGATATGCTCTGCCGTCATAGTTTTGCCTATTCTAGAATTTCATATAAATTGCATTGAACATTCCATAGGTTTTCATGCTTTACTTTTTCACTTAGCATAAAATTTTTGAGACTCATGCATGTTGTTGTCTGTATTATTTTGTTTAATTTTATGAATGATTAGTTTTCCCTGTTCAATTTGTTTGTTATCAAGCAAATGGATATTTGAATTTCTTTCCATTGTTATTATGAATAATGTTGCTATGAGCATTCACATACATGTTTTTGTATGTGAATGAAATTACAGGGTCATATTATATGTTTATATTTAACTTATAAGAAACTGACACATGGTTTTCCAAAGTGGCTTTTCCATTTTGCATTCCCACCAGTAGCACATGAAAATTTCAGTTGTGTGCATCCTAGCCCACACTTAGT